CAGTGTTGGCTTCTCCTACAGTGGCAAATTAATTTTTTTCTTCTTGATTATTGGTGCCAGTTTATCAGGAAGTGGGTTTTTTTTCTGTTTAACTTATTGGAAAGAAACAAATTAGTGTTTATTTACAAATGTTTTATGTGATATTCCAGTTTTGCTCGTAAATTTAATTTGCATCTTTAGAAGTAAACATGGCTAATGTATATTGGGGACTTTAAAATAAACAATTCAAACTTAAAAAAAAAAAACATGCATAAACAGTGAAAATATCTAGTTTCAATACTACATACTTTATCTAAGGCGGATAAAGTAAAAATAAAAAAGATACTAATTGCCAATGTTCCCCTTTTATTTCTATAGTGAATTTAAAATGAAGCCAAATAGCGAAAGTATTGCAAAGATGTATGTTCAGTGTGCTTTTTTTGATGCCATTTTGAGGACAGCAGAGAGAGACCTATTTGCAAATCTGGAATCTGTAGGTTAAAATTCTAAGTATTGAGAGGATTGCCTTAAAAGTTGTCTGAATGGAGTACTTAATACATATTATCAAACAAAATTAGAGTTTTGATATATTTACAGTAGGACATTTACAAATAGATCCTGACTGCCAAAGTTACCATTTATTTTTATAGTGAATCTGAAGAAATCATTCAAATGTTTGGGCTCTTTAGTTTTCCATAAACTAGATTTTAGCTTTTACATAAACATAAAAAAAAAATCATAAAGAGTCATTCATCAAAGATTCGATAATCTGATCAATTCACTTAACCACAAAAAGTTTGAAATCTAAAAAAACATAAAAGTGATCCTGCACCACAAAATCAGCCATAAGTACCTTTTTTAAATGCTGGGTTCCACACAATCAATCTTTGTTGGGGAAACAAAAAGAAATTAAGTTACCGTGTTAGTTTTTACAAGTTTAATTGGATTGAACATAAAACAATTAAGTTGTCCCCAGATAAACATTAAAAATTGTGTTGTTTCAACTCATTTTAATTTTTGGAATCGGAGGGTTCAAAAAAATCTAAATAATGAGGCGATTGTCTTTAAAGTTGTCCAAATTAAGTACTTATTACTAAGCAAAAATTAAGCTTTGATATATTTACAATAGGAATATACAAAATGGAAAATATAATATAAAAATAAAATATATATATACTAATTATTTTTTGACTTAAAAGAAAAATTTAAAATTTTGACCCATAAAATGTTTTTTTTTGCATATTGCCCAAAATATACCCGTGCAAAAGAAGATTACTTCTGGGTTACTACTACCACTACTACTACTACTTTTACAACAACAACTACTACTACTACAACAACTACTTCTACTACTACTACTAATAATAATAATAATAATAATAATTTTAGTAGTAGTAGTAGTTAAACTAGTAGTACTTAGTTTAGATAGTATTTGGTCCCTCTCTTAATTGGGTTAAAGTTACTCAAGTTAATGAGACAATGAAATTATTAATTCGGTGGTGATTGAAACTGATGATTTACACTTGCTGTTAATAAACAGAAACACGGAAGAGAAAGACTTCACTCACAGCCTTAGATGAAATCAGCTAAAATATTATACATTGAATCTCTCAAAATCTCAGCAGAGGATCAAATTGAACAATAAGCAACACCACAAACAGCAGCTTTACTTTTTGCAAACCTGTTTGCCCTTATTTAAAATGGGACCAAATATCTCTCTAAACTAAGTCAATTTTACGCAGAGGATTTAGCTGTGTAGTAGTAATAGTAGTAGTAGTAGTAGTAGTAGTAGTAGTAGTAATAGTAATAATAATACATTTTATTGTGACCGAACATTAGATTGTTAATGTATAAATAAAAAAGTAAATGATGATGTAACATAGTCTAATTTGAGATTGCTGTAGATGTGCATTTGTGTGAATGAACATCAGAACCTGAGATATAACACTTGAGAAATGTGTGAACAGAAACTAACCCTAGTTTTCCCTCTAAGGAGGATCGGAGCTTTGAGGTGTGTTATAATTCATACATTAGAGACGGCATTCATAAATGACTGCGCTGCTATCAGAAAGGTGCACACACACAATATAGATTTCTGTTGTTGCTTACTGAATGAGAAAGAGAAGCGAGACGATTGAAAGAAGGCTGGGGGAAGGGAGTGGGAAAAGGCAAGGCGCAGAAGTGAAAAAGCAACATGAAGGCAGCGATGTGTTTCAGACGACATGTTCAGACACAACAGCGTTTTCCTCCCTGGCCACATCTGAGAGAGTTCATGAGGGGATCGCTAAACCATTTGGAGTCCTTGGTGTGTGCTCGTGTGTGTGCGTGTGTGTGTGGGTGGGCGGTAGAAAGACAGTCTGTGTGTGAGTGAGAAAAAAAAAGAGAGAGATTGAGAGAAAACACATTTTGAACATTGCCTCTGTGCTCTGTGGCCAGTGTTCGGTGAATATTTAGGGCAGCCTTGCTGTTTTGAAGTGGACCAGCAGATGAATGTGTATGAACAAGAAATACCGGGAATGAGAAAGTCTGAGTTTTTGACTCTGTTTTTTTTTTTTTGCGAAGCTTGAACTCTGAGCTTCTGAAACTATTTAAACCATTTGAAACTATTTTAACTATTTGAGTTTATATATATATTATATTATATTATATAAAATATATTTCACTTTATCAGATTGGCACGAATTTTGGTATTGTTTTCGATACCGATTTAAAACGATTAAATGGTACTGGGAAGTAAATTTAACACAAATGTATAATCTAGTTGAAACATTTAATCCTGCACCCAAACAAAACATAAGTGAAAACACTTCAGGATATCAACCTCAAATTTAAGTTTGATGTGTTTATTGTTTTATATATTGTATTTTCTTGCCAATTTTTAAACTAATAGTATTTTATACAGCTTTAGATTATGGCTTTTTGGTAAGGATCTATTTCATATAATTTATGTGTTTTGTTCTTAACAATAAGCCTACATTTTATTTATTTATTTGTACTTTTTTACCTCAGTAAAAAAAAATAGAAACAAAACACTTTAAAAAATTAAATCTGTTTCAAAGTATTCGAGATTTATGACAGTGTAAATAGTTTAAACTTGCATTTTCAGGTGTTCTAAAATGTTTAAAAAGTGTTTGATAGACAAATAGATTGTAACCTCTCTATTGTATAAATATTTGTAGAATCATAACATTTACTAAAAGAGCCAAATATAAACACTGTTAATGATTTCTTGAAGAATCTACAGTAGCTTACTGACAGCAGTTCACCAGTTTGCAGTACATCAGTTGCAGCAAAAATACAGTTTACATTTACAGCTCCATTTATCTTGCTGTTTATGTATTTACAGTATTGTATGTCTTTAATGTAAATATATAGTAATTTTCACAATGCAACTTTAAAATACAGCAGCGTACTGCATACTAGTTCTACAGTAAAGTTCAGTTCATATTTCAATTAAATAGGGTGTAACTTACAAAATTGTTAAGAGTTTACAGTATTTATACTCCCCATTAATTTTTTCTTCTTTTTTAAATATTTCCCAAATGATGTTTAACAGGACAAGACAACTTTCAATGTATGTCTAATATTTTTTCTTAAAAAGAAAGTCTTTATTGCTTTATTTCAGCTACAATGAAAGCAGTTTTTAATTTCTTTAAGAACCATTTTAAGGTCAAAATTATTAGCCGCTTTAAGCTATATAATTTTTTTGATAGTCTACTGAACAAACCATCATCATACAATGATTTTCCTAATTACCCTAACCTGTTCAGTTAACCTAATTAACCTAGTTGAGCCTTTAAATGTCACTTTAAGCTGTATAGAAGTGTAAAATATCTAGTTATTAGAGATGAGTTATTAAAATTATCATGTTTAGAAATATGTTGAAAGATTCTTCTCTCCATTAAACAGAAATTAGGGAAAATAATAAACAGGGCTGGTAATAATTCAGGGTGGCTAATAATTCTGACTTCAACTGACTTCAATACACACACACACACACACACACACACACACACACACACAGTGTTACCATACACAAGTAACAACATTTGTACGATGACGCAGAAGCCAAATTGAAATATTATTGCAAAAATGTTTGTTCAGCAGTGTTGGGCACAGTTACAATTTAAAGTAGTGCGTTACAATAGTGAGTTACTTCCCCCAAAAAGTAACTAATTGCCTTACTTGGTTACTTTTTAAGTAGAACAAGTAAGTAAGTAGAACAGTCAGATAATAGATTCAGTTAGTAGAACAGTATACTGACTCATCTGCTGAGAAAAAAAAGCTTTACATTACATTTTTTCTAAAGTAACTCAAATAATATTACTTATTTTTAAAAGTAATGCTTTACTTTACTCGTTACTTTAGAAAAGTAATATTAAAACATAACATGTGTTACTTATAACGCGTAACCCTCAACACTGATGTTTAGTGTGCTTTTTTTGTTGTTGATGTTTCATGGAATTATATTTTTGTAGCAATCAGCTCATTTAAAAAAAAAAAATTACAAGCTATATTTGTCAATTATAAAATCAAAATCCACTTTAGTTTGCAATATCACAAGCACTTGATGATGTTTAAAAAGGGTTTTGAGAAAAAGCAGTACTCATAAATTATAATGTGTTGCATAAATTGTGAATTGTAGCACTAATGCACCAAAGGTGATGACTCTTTTTGTTTTTGGTGTTAAAGCACATTTTGCTGTGCTTAATTGCATTGTTCTCAATGTGAAAGGGCTGTAACCAAGGTATGCATTTAAAAGCCCTGCCCTTTTCTGAAAAGAGGCGGAGAACTGCAGCTCATTTGTATTCAGAGACACAAGAACAGCATGTTTTTGCTTCCACCAAAAAAAGGGCCTTTTACGTGCTATGTAATGAATGATCCGTGAGGTATTTCAAGCTGATGCATCACAGACGGATTCTGGGGACACCTGAGATTTACACAATGGGACTCATTTAAATAGCAGTTTGTTTCCGTGCTCTGGAGAAGTCTGTAATGAGTGTTGATTTTTCTCTCTCTAGGACCCTGAGCTGGTGAGGAACATCTGTCGCTGGGTTAGAAAGGCCACTAGCATCCCCTTCTTCGCCAAACTCACACCCAATGTTACCAACATCGTTGACATCGCCACAGCTGCTTATGAAGGTATGAACATCCTCACTTACTCACTAATAATGATACAGTATATTTATACTATATTTATACTATTTACAACTTTATTTGTCATTAAGACTGAAATCACATAACAAAAAAAGTGTCCAGCCTTCGAAATGGGTTTGTAGCCTTCTCCTAACCTTTGTCTTTCTACAACACCCTGCAATCTTATGAAATCAGGGTTTAATTCAAGTGAAGCTATTGACTCACAAGTTATGGTGATTTTCTGTACACTGAAGCACTAAATTTTACATAAAGTTTACTGCACTGTTTCAATTTTACTACAATTTTACATGAACACAATTTACATTAAATTTAGTAGTGTTAAATTTATGTTTTTAAACAAAGTTTGTTTAAATTCAGCCTATATTAATTATTTGCAAACATTTACCTTAAAACAATACTCTTTAGGCTAATACTTCTTGTTTGAATATGCTAAAAGGGGTGCATTTATTTACAATTATGGATATAAAACTTTCTAAAATATATCAATGTTAAACCCAAAACAAGGTGTTTTGATTAGGTCTTAAACAATGAATAAGATTATTTTGCATCATGAAAGCATTTTCAAAAAAGCACTTTAATCCAAAGAGATTAAACAAGGATATTTCTAAAATAAGTGAGCTACACTTTAAGTAGAAGTTACCCAGAAAGAGCAGGTTCATCAATGCCACTTTTAACACTTGTGTATAAACAGCTAAACAGGAAATATATCCTGTCGTGGTACTTTAATGCCACATGTGACAGTCACGTGGCGTCGGTACATCATCAATCTGGACAACATTTCTAACCGGCATGCACCACTTTAGATTTCGATCGATCTGGACAGTGCTGTATGAAGTCGAACGCACCTGATCTTTCACTGGAGACTCACCCTGCATGAATCATTTGAATCTGTGAATCAATTACTGAAGACTCACTTTAAACAGATCATTTGAATTAGTGACTAATTTGCTAGAGACTCACACTGAATAGTTCATTTAAACCAGTGAATTGTTAATTAGTTTACAGATGTCGTTCTATTCAAAAATGTATTATTGAGTGCAATTGTGAACCTGTTCAAAAGTTTAACTGATAAAAGACAGCTTGTTCACAAATTAAACAGCACTACAGAATCTCTCTAAACAGGTAACAATTTCAGCTTCATTCAGCAACTGTAGTGTAGTGATAAGTGTTATATATTTTTAATTTAATGAATTAATGAAGTGTTAATGAAGTGATAAGATATGTACTTGAATACAGTCAAGAAATAAAATATATGTATTTACCTTACACCAGTGGCAAAATGACAGTGTTTCTATTTACCAACGTTATGTGGTTATAGTGTCAGGTTTTTTCCTCTCACTACGATGGGTGTTGGTAGGTTTACATGCACTGCAGCCATGTGTTTCATGTGTGCTATCCAATATTTAATGGCAAGAACAACCTCTTGGGAGAAGCAACATGTGAGGTGTTTCTGTGAGGTTACATGGTTTTGAAGAACAGACCTTTTTTCAGTTGTGCAATGCCTCAGTAATTGTTCCACCATGGCAGAAGGAGCCATTTCTTTAAATAAATAAGCACAACAATAATTGTTTAAAAACAATATAAAAATGATTATACATTTAAGTACATGTGCTGACCAGTTCTGTAAAATACCCCTGTTGAAATTGACTAAAAAACATCTCATTCAACTGTAAAATCTGTTGTACAAAAATTGATGTGTTTCTAATATCCATATTTTCTATTGAAAATTTTCAGTTTGCACAACTTGAAGAATAATAGAAATACGTTTAGCTGCTTTCCATTATCATGATGCTTTTTTCTTAGATTCTCCAAAAGAAAATATATAACATAAAAACACAAAATTGTTGACATTTTTGCAGATTTATTAAAAAGAAAAACTGAAACATCACAAGTACTTAGACCCACTCATATATTTAGCTGATGTGCTGCCCATTTCTTCTGATCATCCTTGAGATGATTCTACACCTTCATTTGAGTCCAGCTGTGTTGGATTATACAGATTGGTCTTGCATAGGAAAGCCACACACCTGTCTATATAAGACCTTAAACCTCCTTTCCACTGCACACGACAAATGACAAGCGACAGACTGGAAGACATTCTTTTTCAATGGAGAATAGTCCGGGAGCTGCTTGGAGTCTCGATCATCTCCGTATGCGGAAAATTCGGATCCGAATTGAGCTGCGGATCCGTTGAAATATTTCAACTCCTGCGACTAAACTGTATGCTACTGGCCGACTGGATGTGATGTATTTCAGAGTTGTACAAGCAGGTCTGTGTGCGCGAGATGAGAAATATATATGTATATATATATATATATATATATATATATATATATATATATATATATATATATATATATATATATATATTAGAAAAAGTCTATATAAAAGAAACCTTTATATTCATAAATGTATGTAATAAATTAATAAAATTATAGTTTTTTAAGTCTCCAATATTTTTTAGTGGTCTATGAGTTTTCAGTTTTCATTCATTCATTTAATCATGGTGAACAGAATACTGGCTCTTGCTTTTGCCCTCCTTTATTTTGGACACTGCGAGAACAGCTTCTCTCCCATGGTGCACTACAGAACTGAAAATTCTGTGCGACTGCCACAAGGGGGTGTATTCCGACAGTTGTGTCCAAATGTTGTGCGCAGTGAAAAGGCAGATGTACAGCTCACAATGCATATCAGTGCAAATAAGAATCATGTGGTCAAAGATAATGCCTGAAGAGCTCAGAGACAGAATTGTGACAGATTTGGCCATGGTTGCAAAAAAAAAAAAAATTCTGCTGCACTTAAGGTTCTTAAAAGCACAGTGGTCTCCATAATCTTTAAATGCTAGATGTTTGGGATGACCAGAACCATTTCTAAAGCTGGCCAAACTAGGCTATCATGGGAGAAGAGCCTAGGTGAGATAGGTAAAGAAGAACCCAAAACATCACTGTGGCTGAGCTCAAGAGATGAAGTCGGGAGATGGGAGAAAGTTGTAGAAAGTCAACCATCGCTGCAGCCCTCCACCAGTTGTGGCTTTATGGAAGAGTGGCCTGACACATGAAAGCCTACATTGAGTTTGCTCAAAAACGCCTGAAGGACTCCAAGATAGTGAAAAATGAGAAATAAGATTATCTGGTCTAATGATAGATCTTTTTGGCCTTGATTCTAAGTGGTATGTGTAGACAAAAGCAAGCACTGCTCATCACCTCTCCAATACAGTCCCAACAGTGAAGCATGGCTGTGGCAGCTTCATGTTGTGGGGGTGTTTTTCAGCTGCAGGGACAGTATGAGGATGACTGCTTGCAATTAAGGGAAAGATGAATGCAGCAAAGTAAAGGGATATCCTAGACAAATCCTTCTCCAGACTACTCAGAACCTCGGATTGGGCCAAAGGATTACCTTCCAACAAGACAATAACCTTAAGCACACAGCTAAAATAATGGAGTGCCTTCACAACAACTCTGTGAATGTTCCCCCGCCAGAGCCCTGATATAACCCCAATTGAGCATGTCTGAAGAGACCTAAATATGACTGTCCACCAACGTTTACCATCCAACCTGACAGAATTGGAGAGGATCTGCAAGGAAGAATGGCAGAGGATCCCCAAATGCAGGTGTAAAAAAGCAAAGGGTCCTGCTGTTTCAGATTTTCTTTTTTATGAAATCTGCAAAAATAAAAAAGTCTGTTTTTCTGTTGATATGGGGTGCTGTGTGTACATTAATGAGGGGGGAAATGGCTGCAATATAACAAAGAGGGAAAAATTTGTCGAGAGAGCTCAGTTGCACTGGAAATTAAGAAAACACATGCACATGAAAAACACTAACTAATTGAGAACATCAGTTTAACAATACACATGCAAGCTAATTTCACAACTCATGCAAATGCAGAAATGCTGTATAATTGTGCAGAATAAATGTTAATTTATTTTTCATCATTACAGCACATTTAATCATTATCTTAATCAGCGATTTCCAAATAACATTTTCACAAACATGACATTAGCCCCTTTCACACATACAGACCTTTCCGGAAAATTACCGGCAATTTTCCGGAAAGGTTGTATGTGTGAACAGGTCCTTTTTGAAAATACCGGTAAATTCGTTCTGGCTATTTTCCGGAAAGAGAAGTTGTAACATTACCGGCAATTTGCCGGAATGCTGCGCTGTGTGAATGCAGAAGGAAGATTTCCGGAATAAGCTCGTGCACGTCTAGAACGTGCTGACGTGAGACGTCTGCTTTAGCCAATCACAACAGTCAGACGCATTTACGTCCGCGCGGTTTGTGAGAATAAAAGCCTTTGAATATTTTTCCAGACACATTTAGCTGCTAGAAGTTAGTCAGATCACGTTTATATGTTCTTCTTAATGCCAACTGTGCAAATAGTCATCGATAAGATGCTTATGATAAGCCGTTGTTTGTTTACCTTCAAGCTTTGCGTGTGCCCATGAAACAGCCTGTGAGCGTCAGCACACTTACATATTATGAACATCTCGACATGCGAATATGATCCAGTGAAAGTTGTTTACAATATTGATCATCCACAGAGTTTGTAATTTAGTCAAATGTTTACAAATACAAGCGCAGCCGTTTAAAGCTCATTTGTGGTGAATGATGTCAGAATTTACCGGTATTTTGGAATGGATGTGTGAATGCTCTTTTCCGGAAAATTTCCGTAACGTCCTCGCCTGTGTGAACAGCGCTTTTTTGAATATACCGGTAAAGTCGTTCCGGAAATTTTCCGGATATTTACCGGTATCACTGTGTGAAAGGGGCTATTACAGTCATGACATTTAAAGATTTTTATTTCACAATTTATCTTAGTTCCACAAAATGAACGACTTGTGGTAGAAAGCATATTCAGAGTAAATGAAGACATCAAGTACTCTTTCTCAGTACTCCCATCTTATTCATGCCATTTATTACATAGCATTTAATCTCATTTAACCCTGTTCTTATTCATGTCCTTCACAACAGAAGACAAGAGGGTGAAGGATAACCTTTGAATATAACCTTTTTAAATAAGATTTTCTGTGTATAATGTTCGTTTTTATATTACAAGCCTCTTCCTGAATACAAATATATGTAAGGTGTCTTGCATTGTAATGCAGTTACTTCTGTGTGTATTTTTGTTTGTACTTATATATAAAGAGTTCAGATGCAAAAATCATGAAAAAAAACAAAGTGCCATCTCGAATTTTCTTTTACAATAAGCATTTTTTCTCAGCCTTGTATGTTTATGTTCAGTTATTTTATATGAAAAGCAATGAAAATAATCAATTTTTTTTAATTGCTGTATGAAGACATTAAGAGCCTGATAAAACCTGAATCTCTGAATCAAGAGCCTGGTAAAATTCTAATATTAGAAGAAAATTTCAGATGCCACTTAGAGATTTTTGCATCTGAACTCTTCATATCCAGACAAAAAAAAAAAAAAAAACATGTACTGTATGTAGTTGAAGAAAGCATTATTATTCTTCTTGTTAAATTGTAATTATTTTTTTAGGTATTTCCCAAATGATGTTCAACAGAGCAAGGACATCTGCATTGTATTTCCTATTGTATTATTTTCTTGAAAATCTTTTATTTTAGATTGGCTATAAAGCAGATTTTACATTTTTATATTATATATTATCTTATACAGTTGAAGTCAGAATTATTGTTAGAATTTTTTTCTTTTTAAAATATTTGCCTAGTTATGTTTAAAAGGCCAAGGAAATTTTTACAGTATGTCTGATAATATTTTTTTTCTTCTGGAGAATAAAAGCAGTTTTTTAATTTTTTAAACACCATTTTAAAGACAAAATTATTTTTACAAATTTTAGATACAATACACAAACACTACATAACAAACTATCGTTACACAATAACTTGCCTAATAACCCTAACCTGCTAAGTTATCGTAATTAACCTAGTTAAGCCTTTAAATGTCACTTTAAGCTGTATAGAAGTGTCTTGTAAAATATCTAGTGAAATATTATTTATTGTCATCATGGAAAAGATAAAATAAATCAGTTATTCGAAATGAGTTATGAAAACTATTATGTTTAGAAATGTACTGAAAAAATCTTCTCTCCATTAAACAGAAATTGGGGAAAAATAAACTTTAGGGCTAATAATTCAGGGGGTTAATAATTCAAACTTCAACTGTATAATATTAGCCACTTTAAGATTAGTGTTTTGTTTTTATTGGCTACTGAAGAAACCACTGTTGTCCACTGTACTAACAATTCCTATCTAATCAACCTATTTAACCTAGTTATGCCTTTAAGTGATATGTAATTACAAACTAATTTCGAGAGGGTCACGTGCTTATGATTGACCGCTCTTCCCGCATTAGCTAATGCATGATTTACCAATCGGAGGATTCCTAGCTCACCAAAAATAACCAGAGTTTCTTACCTCAGTTATCTTCATCTTAAACAATCCCCCCTTAAACCCCTACTCCTCTTCCCTTTTCCTTGAGAAGCCAGCACTGTTGCCTCACAGCAAGAATGTCACAGATCCAAGTCTCTTAGGGTGCTTTCACATTAGCACTTTTGGTCTGCACCCAGGTTCGTTTGTTGTCAAAGCACAGTACGTTAAGCTAGTGTGAACGCTGTCTTCTGAACACGGGTGCGCACCCGTGAACTGTACCCAAGTCTGCATGAAAGAGGTGGTCTGGGGTACAGTTTGTGCAAACCCCGATATGGTTCACTTCTGATATGAATGCAATCATACCAAATAACGGAAATGAACCGCCAACTGTACAACAAAATTTTGTTTTTATAATGTTCATTCGTGTGTATGTCTGTGTAAACAGTGATCCCCAGTGCAAACAGTGATAATGTGTGCTTGTTTCCACCAAAAACAGCTTCTGCAGACATTGTGATGTTCTGAACATTTTAAATGTTTTTGAATGGAATTCGAACAGACTATGTTCGCTATTTTGTCATGGTCACGTTACCTACCTGCGTCAGTTGCATCGCTTCACTCCCATCTGTGAATTCTTTCGCTGGGCATTATGGGCGCAGCATGCATGCGTTGCGCACTTCAGAATCTCGCCAGAAGTAGTAGGTCATCTGACTTTTGCTTGCATACTGATTTTCAAATTCTATAATTTCTGAAATACTCGCATGCTGATTTTAGCGTACTAAATAGTATGAAAGTATGCGATCTCAAATGCAGCCTGTGATGTGCTGACATCTCCATTTTGGCACTTTGCTTTCATGGCTGTCACCTAGCAACAGCTGTTCACAAAACAGCAGCTTAATGGCGCAACGAGGTTCAGAAGGAAAAAAGATGTGCAAACACAAACCAGCCAAGGGAGAACAATCGAACTTGGGTTAGGACCAGGCATTCAGATAAAGGTGTGAAAACACCCTTACAGGCCACATTCTGTGTCCTCGTGTGGGTTTCCCTCATGTTCTCTGGTTTCCTCTCACAGTCCAAAAACTTCCAACATAGGTGAATTGACCAAACCAAATTAGCACCAATCAGCAGTATATGTCTTCTTAGCAATCCCTAATTTATCATTAACCATAAATAAGCAGGGGAGTTCTCGAAACCTACCCAAGCTCAATCTCCCCTCCCGCCCTGCAAAGGGGAGAGAGCTCCAGAGTCGAGGATCTTATGAGCTCAGAACTCTCTCCCAGAACAGCATGCCAAACACACTTTACAATCAATCACCAGCTAAGTGTGAACTCTTGAAATTGTCCTTTAAGCTGAATACTAGTATCTTGCAAAATAACTAATAAAAATATTATGTACCGGCATCATGGCAAAGACAATAGAAATGAAAAACTATAATAATTATTATTAGAAATTAGTTATTAAATATTTATTAATTATGTTTATAAGTGTGTAGAAAAAATTGTGAAAACATCTCTTGGGAAATATTTGAAAAATAATTAAAAATTCCAATAATTTGGCTGTATTTTCCCAAATAAAGTGCAACTTCTGAATAATTTCATATATTTTGTTTATATGTTAAAATCACATTTGAAATACATGAAATTAGTTCTGAAATCATAAACCTAGTTACTAATTTAATAATTTTGTCTCTAAATAACACTGATCTCTATGAGACTATGTAAAATGACATTAGCAGGTATTGTGCACCAGTGCTTTTCACTTTGTATTCATATAAACACATTTTAAGATTGACCTTTTAGATTTGTTCGCCCTCACCGTCGACTCACATTCACACAGTTTAGCATCAAAATCAAATCATTCATACAATTTATAAAAGAAGCTCTGGTGATGTTATGCATGTCTTTCTGACAGGATTATCTACAGCGCAGTATTTTTATGTTGCTGTATTTCAGGATCAGCGTCACCCAGTAGTGTCATCCCGTCCACACAGTGTGTTTGCTTTAGGGTTTTGTAAGAAATTCTGGTTTTGTTTGTTTGTTTGTAGGAGGTGCGGATGGAGTCACAGCCACCAACACTGTATCTGGACTAATGGCCCTCAAAGCCGATGCTACACCCTGGCCTGGGATTGGCAGAGGCGCCAGAACTACATATGGCGGTGTTTCTGGTAAGTGTGTGTGTGTGTGTGTGTGTGTGTGTGTGTGTGTGTGTGTGTGTGTGTGTGTGTGTGTGTGTGTGTGTGTGTGTGTGTGTGTGTGTGTGTGAGAGAGAGATGTCTGAGCTTGCTCTGCTCTGGTCAGCTCTTGCCTGCACAGACAGATGGACTGGATCAGGTGTGAAAGCACTGGCCATGCTCTCTGCTCTCTAGAAAAAGAGCTTCAGTGTGGGAGGCTTGTAGTCAAAAATGACATCAGCCCGGCTTGAAGTACGCTGCAAAAAAAATCATTCTGTCAGACAGTATTTTTAGGTTGTTTTCCTAATAAATATATCTTGGTTGATGGATTTTTTTATATAAAAAGCATAATTTCATGTTAAGACATGATAATTTTATTTAATAACTGTTTGATTGTTAATTATGAAAAACTAATTGAGCTATTTGTTTGTGCGTTACTGGTTTCATAAATAACTTTAAATTGTAACTTGTTTTAAGCAAAGGTGTACTTAAAGTTGGACTTGCTTAAAGGACTTGTTTGTTATCCTAGGGAAAAAAAAAACGTAGGTATTCTGGTTAACAATAAGCTCTTAAGCTCTTCCTCTTATTTTTTGTACATTATAAGGGGGACCTATCATTCCAACATCACTTTTATAAGGGATTGAAACAGTTGTGTGGCAACAGTGTGTGGAAATAGCCAGCCTCTAATGCTATAAATGTATTCATTCTAATTTTAAAATCAGACTTCATCTTCATCATCTGAGACCCTGCTCGTTGGTTACAATCTCTCCCTCATTTGCATAGACAGTCCTGAGTGAGAAGTTTTTTTTAAGATAACACTGGTCCTGTTTAGAATCTGCCACTCTGCTGACACAAAGATGTGTGTAGCTCAGTCCTCTTTTCAAAATCTCCTTTTAATTTAAAGTGACAGTCACCAAAACTGCACAATTTGGATCAAAGCCTAAAGGGGGCAGTTTCAAAGAGTTCTGAAAAACAATTTGAGTGGTATTTTAAGGTAAAACTGCTCATACACACTCTAGGAGTCTAGGGACATCAGAGAGCTATTTTCCATCTTGTAAAAAGCTGCATTATATGTCCCCTTTAAGAAATATTGCATGTAATGTTATTATTCTTGTGTGTTTGTTTGTTTGTGTGTGTGTGTCTTGTTTTATGCTCAGGATTTGTAGCCAACAGTGTAAGAAATAATTAAGCTATATTCGATAATTCCTTTCAAAGTAAATTTATCTATTTTCAAACATATTTTAATGGTAAACGAGATAAAGAAAAAAAAGTTTTATGTGTATTTGACCCTCGTTGACCCTATTTCTTTTGAGGCTGTTGGAATGCTTTAGAGATATCGAAATTAATTGTTTTTGCAATGCATTGCAATGCAGATGTTGACAATTTAATATAGACCAGTGTTTGTCAACCACGCTCCTGGGGGACCACCAGCTCTGCACATTTTTCATGTCTCTTTAACCAAACACACCTGATTCAGATCATCAGCTCATTAGCAGAGACTGAAAGACCTGTAATGGGGGTAAGAGACAAAGGAGACATCCAAAATATGCAGTGTTGGTGGTCCTCCAGAAACGTGGTTAAGATACACTGATATAGAATATTTCAATGCTTTGATGTCATTGGCTCATGAACATTTCCTGCTTGTTATTAAACTATTTCATAACTGTAACAAGAGGCAATTCAATCATAGCTTAATGTTAAAACAGCTATCATAACATGATTTATCAATATGTGGATCTTTTTTGGTTCTCGGAAGCTATAGAAATTAAAAATGTCAAACAGGAAATACGTTGAGACCATTGTTTTTGGTTTACATCTCTCAGAATGGTCTGTTAGTAGAGTGATAGATTATAAACGAGTATGATGTACTGACATCTCTGTCATCCTGCCGTTGTTCTCGCTGGTGCCGAGTCCGCTCTTTGGCAACATTTTTTTTTTTCCATTTGGTCCCATCCAGGACATCTTCTGTCAGTGTATTGACGATCTTCAAGTCTTCCTTAAATCTGTCCATCCATCGTTTCTTCGGTCTGCCGCGTGGCTGGCGTCTGTCTGGAGCAATCCTAATGGCTGTTCTCATCACTTCTATTTATGCGTCCGTACCACCTTAGGCACATTTCAGGCATCTTCTCCTATATTGGGGCTACTCCCAGTTGCTTCCTTATGTCGTCATTCATAATATGGTCCTATCTTGTGATTCCTAGGCTCCAGTGGAGCATCTGCATCTCCATGGTGTTTAGGGCCTGTTCATGTGTGGTAGAGGTGGGCCAACATTTGAAGCCATACAGGGCTACTGGGCAGACAATTATTTTGTACATTTTTCTTAACCTTGACATGCAGGAAGGGTTGAATCACGTTCTCCTCTCATCGTACCTCCCACAAAACACATATGAAAATTGTGATTGGCAGAGCCTTTCCCTACTGTCATGTGAGAGGTTTGGGGGGTGTTGGATTCACCCGTCTGGGCCGTCCCCACCAATGTCAAGAGCAAACCTATGCCCTTGGGTCTGGCATCTTATTGTCACAAAGAACAGCAGTAACCTGTCACCATTTCAGCCAAGCTGCATTTATTTTTGCTTGGACATCGGAGGTAAGTCCAGGAATCGAAGCTCTTTGGTCTTCATCAGCTTTTCGTTGTCAATTGTGATGTTCCCATCTCTTTTACGGACCACCTTCCAGATATTCAGTCTTCTTGATGTTGAGCCTTAGACCATACTCAAAGCTTTGTTTTCCAGAGCTGGGTGATTGGGTCTCTGCCCGGTCTTAAATGACGAGGAACACATCATCAGCAAAAAGGAGTGACCAAGGGTGGGCCAGCTGGAGGTCGGCTGTAATGGTGTCCATGCATAGGATGAAGAGTAGTGGTGACAGGGCTGATCCTTGGTGTACTCTGAAGCTGATTGGAAAAGGAGGTGACAATCCGGCTATGCATTGGACTGTGCTGGTGCTGGAGCCTGATCCACTCGACGTACACGTCAGGAACTCCATGTGATTTTAGAGAGTGCCAAATGACGAAAGCCTTTTCGTGGTCTAAGAAGGCCATATGTACCGGTTTGTTCTTTTCCCTTTGTTTTTCCTATAGGAGGTAGGTGGCGTAGATGGCATCAAATTATTGACATCTAGAAGTATATAAACTCACCGGCCACTTTATTAGGTATACCTTACAAGTATAAGGGTGGACCCACTTTTGCATTCAGAACTGCCTTAATCCTTCATGGTGTAGATTCAAGAACGTAATGGAAATATTCCTCAGAGATTTTGGTCCAAATTGACATGATAGCATCACACAGTTGCTGCAGATTTGTCGGCTGCACATCCATGATGTAAATCTCCCATTCCACCACATCTCAAATGTGCTCTATTGATTGAGTTCTGGTGACTGTGGAGGCCATTTGAAAACAGTGAACTCATTGTCATTGTTCAAGAAATCAGTATGAGATGATTAATACTTTATGACATGGCACGTTATTCTACTGGAAGTAGCCATCAGAAGATTGGTACACGGTGGTCATAAGGGGATGGACATGGTCAATACTCAGGTAGGCTCTGGCGTTGACACAATGCTCATTCGGTACTAATGGGCCCAAAGATGATCCATGCTTTCATGTTGTGAATGCCGAATTCTGACCCCATCCAAATGTTGCAGCAGAAATCGAGACTCATCAGACCAGGCAATGTTTTTCCAATTTACTATTGTCCAATTTTGGTGAGTCTGTGCAAATTTTAGCCTTAATTTCTTGTTCTTAGCTGACAGGAGTGGCACCTGGTATGGTCTTCAGCTGCTGTTGCCCATCAGCCACAAGATTCAACGTGAAAGATTTTCTCTTTTTCGGACCAACTACAATGCCACATTCAAAGTCACTTAAATCACCTTTCTTCCCCATTCTGATGCTTGATTTGAACTACAGCAAATCATCTTGACCATGTCTACTTGCCTAAATGCATTGAGTAGCTGCCATGCAATTAGATGATTAGAAATTCTTTGGACAGTTGTACCTTATAAAGTGGCCGGTAAGTGTATACTAAACATTCATTCATTCATTCATTCATTCATTCTTTTTCTTTTCAGCTTAGTCTCTTTATTAATCTGGGGTCACCACAGCGGAATGAACCGCCAACTTATCCAACATATGTTTTACGCAGCGGATTCCCTTCCAGCTGCAATCCATCACTGGGAAACATCCATACACACTTATTCATACACACTGCAGACAATGTAGCCTACCCATTTTACCTATACCACATGTTTTTAGACTTGTTGGGTAAACCGGAGCACCGGGAGGAAACCCACGCGAACATGGGGAGAATATGCAAATTCCACACAGAAATGCCAACTGACCCAGCCGAGGCTTGAACCAGCAACCTTCTTGCTGTGAGGCGAATGGGCAATCCACTTTGCCACCGTGCAGCCCTGTACTAAACCTATATTACTGAAAAAATGTGTGTAATTACATGCAGATGTTAAAAACAATAAGCTATACTCACATTTATAAGCTATATACGTTTACAAATTGTCTTCATTAGTGTTTAGAAAGAACTTAAATGTCAATATGCATCTGTTCGCTTATTACCACTAATGAAGACAATCACTGCATCTCACACATAAACAATTTTTACCAAAATAAACAGCAGTGGATTCATGTGGGCTTTATAGCATGAGCTGTGTACAGTTGAGTGTGTTTGAGCTTCACCTTTTCCTTTTGCCTTCAGCTGAGCTGCCACAGTGTCTGCAGAGGCAAGGACAGGGTCAGAAACACTGCCTGCATTAAAAATTAATACTCATACTATTGAGGCTCTATTTTATGCAAGCAAAACTGACTGACTGTCATATTTTTCACTTTTAAAGTCTTATGGGCCTTACCGTGCAGCTCTCTCGTGGGACCCAGCCTTGCTGCAACGGTCTAAGGCACTGTCCGAGACTGAGCTATTGATCAGCAGGGGCCCTAAAGAGCCCGTGTGGCCCCACATATTTTATCTGCTCCCAGTACAGTAGCTCT